AACACAAGCTTCCCTCCCCACCAGGGAGCCCTCCAGCATATCCACTCCATGTGGATGCCACACACCTTGCTGGGCTGAGGCAAGAACAGCAGCTCACCAACTACTGCTAAACCTCTTCTGCTAAAACCACTACTCAGTTCAGTTCACAGGGGCAGCCAAAGTTCACCTTCAGCTCCCTCCTCTGCTCCCAAGTTTACAAGGTGGCAACTTCAGCCTATGGACACCACAGAGATGTTCCAGCACCACGTGGAAGCTGTCACGGGAAGCAGCTCCACAGGTCAGCCTGCATGTCAAGGGGCATTCAACAAAGTTTCTACATTTGGTGTTCATTGAGGCACTCATGCCAAGCCACCACACTGCACCGTTGGGAGGCCTCAAGGAAGCCCCTGGACTGCCCAGTGGGTAGCTGGCCACAGGCAGGGGACCACTCTCTGGGCACAGTCTGGGAGCAACTGCTCCCCATCCCCTCTGTGGACAGGTCCCCACCACCCAGAGTCCCAACAGCAACACCTCACACTCACCACCTCCCACACCCCACCCCAGCTGCCTCCGTGCCCTTGTCCCACCCGATTCCAGGTCACCAGGCTGCTGGCCACACTCCTCATGGGAGGACAGCAGTTGAAAAGCACAGGCTGGCAGCATCACCCACAGCCAGACCAGCCACCCACCTCCCCAGAGCTGTGCAGAAGCACGAAGCCATGGTGAGGACAGTGGGAGTCAAAATCCACCGTCAGCACACGTGAAGCTCAGCTGCACACAGCAGGGACAGGATCTGTACTTTCCAAGTGCAGTGCCCAGATTTAGGCACATTTCCTGCACTCCTCAACTCCCACTCCCTGCCAATGGGAAACACTGCCACTGCTGGCATCTGCTCTGGATCTCCACCTTCCCCTCAGCTCTCAAACAAGCTTCTTGTTGACAGACTACTGAAAAAAAATCCCCCAAAAGCCAATTTCTCCTTGTTCTGAGAGTACCCCCAAAGGACCCTGGGTATGCTCTGAGCCTACCCAGCACTCACCCAGCAAATACCAGAGTCCCATGAATGAGGAGCTTGAAGCAAATGGGTCTGAGCTGGAGCAGCAGGTCCTGCGGAGGAGGCTCACGAAGGGGAGTTCCAAACACCCACTTCCCAGAGCAAAGCCTGTCCTGCTGGGACTGTGAGGCTGCTCCAGCTCTGCCTGCCACTTAAGATCAGTCCCGTTGTTTGATAGGAAGCCCACAGCCACCTCAGCCCAAGTGCTCATCCACAGGGACAGCCCATTGGTGTCACTGCCTGGAGAACCTGCTCAGCTTGCAGAATGCAAGAGCTCCTGAGTGCCCTCTGACCTGCAGAGACATCCAGCCTCAAACTGTTTTGAGCAGGTGAGTCAGAAGCCTCCTGTGGAGCCAGTACCTCACTGAAGCCAGCAGGTAGGAGACAGACCACATGAAGAAACTTCTCTGTGCAGTGAGATGTTCGAGCAGCCCGAGCTGCAGGAGCCGTTGCTCTGAGCAGCCTCTCCAGGCTGGGGTTAAGCCAGTGAAGAAATTACAGTTCAGAGGTGGGTCCTTGGGAAGCCTAGTAACACTGCCAGGACTTCCACCTCCTCTTCTGAGGAAGGACAAACACTGGTTTGACAGGGTGACAAAGCTCAATAGGAAGCACACTGGCAGCTTGTTTTCCAGCCAGTGAGGAAGCGACAGCAGCTCTGGCCAGGAGCAGCTCGGTTACCACCAGCCTCGAGAGGCACATCAGCAGCTCCACATCTCTACCAGCCTGGAAAAGTTTCTACCTTTTAGAGTTTCTCCTCTGCCTAGAGTCTGCAAGGGAGCCCCTTTTGCTTGTTTAACCTTGTATTCCTTTCCCAGGGCAGCCACCAGCCAGCCCCAAGCCCCAGCACCGCTTCTGCCGAACGTTCTGCACATTAAGCGCCACGTGAATCGTGTCCCTGCCCAGCCCTGACCTCCTGAAACGTGATAGGGGTGATTCCCGGAGCAAAACAAGGAAACCAGCCTGTTGACATCCTCCAGCCTCGGTGTGACCTACATTCCTCAGCTCTCAGCTCCTCTCCCCAGCTGGTTGTGCCACACGGGCAGATGAAGGGGGGCGGCTGCGCCCCCAGCTCGCCACTGAGCCCAGCGAGTGGCCACAGCCTTTGGCCACTGAACTGGGGAACCTGACCACCTCCTAGAGAGGCAGTCTGGCTGCAGGATTCCCTGGTTTCATGTCCACCTGAGCAGCTGCCAGCTCTTTAGGGTGTCTGGGCAGAATTCAGGCAGTGCAGATGACCCTAGTGAAGGGTCCCAGGCGAAGAACTTACAGGAGATCAGGATGACCAGCTCAGCACTCCTGCTGCTGTCCAGAGACCAGCCAGCTGAGGTGAGAGACTGCCAAAGGTGCAGACAGTGAGAACTCTCCTGCAGGAGCATCATCAGTTCAGCACTTTCTGCTGATGTCCACACCTGAGGACTCCTGTCAGGAGCAGAACTGGGCTCTGCTGAGTGCAGCAGTCCCGGGCAGCTGGACTGCACTCAGCCTGGGCCTGCCCTGGATCAGCCCAGCCCGACCTGTGAACACTGCTTGGAGAAACAGGAGAGCACCCCCTGAGTGAAGCTGCTCCTGGTGCTCAGGGAGGCTGCTCATCCCCCTGCACCTCACAGGCAGCAGCACCAGGCTGTACTGTAAACTCCTGGGACAGGCTCTCGGTGGCTTTGAGATCAAGGCCAAGTCTCAGTGCCCCACGCTGTCCAACAACCAGGAGCTCCAGGTCTGTCACTCCTGCAGTTCATGCTCCTCTCACCTGTTTGCCAGGACTGGCTGCAGGGCTCCTACTCACCCCTGAGCACAGAATTCAAGGCTGTGAGTGTCCTGGATGGGGCAGTGCTGCCCCATTCCCAGCCTACCCAGGAGCAGGGCAGCTCTCAGAGCTGCTGGGGTGCTCAAGGGCAGCACCAGAGTTCATCTCAAACCAGCTCAGCAGAGACCCTGATACCCACAGGGCAGCTACTGCCAGCTCCCCATGTTAACCCCTGCACAGGGACTGCCTCACACGACTCCCCAGCACAGGGGAGCTGCTGCTTTAGGCTGTCAGGAGTTCCAGAGCCTGGTATTTCTGCCCTCTGCTCACCCAGCAGCAGGAGCCACTCTGAACACTGGCAATATTTAGAAACACGATCCTGAAGAATCTAGTTACCCAAGCAGACTGCTCCTGCTCTCAGCTATGCAAGAACCATTTCACTGGGGATTTGTTGGCTTAGAATCAAAATCCTCAAGACAAAAGCCCCAGTGAAGTATTTATCTTGTTAAATAGCTGACAGCGTTACATGAATTTCTTGGCAGAGCAATCCCTGAAGTTACGAGTGGTTTTGCTTCAGCTAACACTGAATGGGCAGCCAGCCACTGCTAGCAGGAAGCTCCTGCTCCCCAAACTCCCACCCAGGACTGGCGAGTCAGCTCCAGGAGCCCAGCTCACAAATGGCTTCCAGGAGTGGCACCAGCAGCACACGTTGGACCTCCCAGAACCACCCAGGCTCCGCTGGCCCAGATGAGCACAACGTGGAGTGTCAGCCTGATTTCCCAACACATCAGCATGGTTAATGAGAGCAGACCTCAGAAGCTGCCCTGCAGCAGGTCCCTGGTGCAGTGGGAGTAACAGAGCCAGCTCTGGCTGGTGAGGGGCACCAGGAAGCTGGCTGCAGGTACCAGGCTCACCCCCCAGCCCCGTGAGGCCTGAGCAGTTCTAACACTTCACCTCTCTGCAGACACCACAGACCTCCCCACAAAGCAGTCTCCTGGTCACCCGGGCTCTGATCTGAGCTCCAGGCACAGCCCTGGGTTGGGAAGCACTCACTGCTGATGGCAGATGCACTACAGCCCCAGTGCTGCCTGACAGACCCGAGCCAGCTCCGAGCAGCCCCGGGGTGCTCCTGTGGCTGTCCTGCTATCACAAGTCAGTCGTGGCTTCTCTGTGGAGCCTTGTGCACTCCAAAGACTCAGGCACACGTTTTAATTGAGTCATGAATAGAATTTATATGGGCAAAAAGCCACATTATTTTTTTGGTAGCTACAGCCCTGAACAAGTACAGTCAGCTCTGTAACACCAGCTCCTTCTCGTGCCTTTTACACACACATCTGTTGCCTGACATCTGCAGGGCCACGGCCTCCAGAGCAGCCCCAGCAGAGGCTGTTTTTCAAAGCAGCCCTATCATCAGTGCTCCCAAGGCCACCAGCCAGCAGCTACTGCTCAGCCCCAGGCAGCTGAGCGTGGCCAGCAGCACAGGCCCCTCCTGCTGCCCAGCACAGGCTGGGGCTCTCACGAAGCCTGGCTGCTGAGAGCAGTGACATGGGGACTCCCTCCTGCTGTCCCCTGGATGAGCCAAATCTTCAAGGCAAGACAAGCCCAAGAGAAGAAACTGTGATGAACACCACATCCCTGCTCCTTCTCAGCACCTCACACATGACTTGGAGAGGCTCAGCTGAAGTGGGCTAACACATACAGACAGCTACTGCTCAGCTGGAGACAGTCTTGCTTGCTAGGTGTCAGCTGCTGGAGCCAGGCACCTCAGCTCTAAGATCACTAGGAAGCAGCAAGGCCAGGGGCACTCGTGCACCCTGCAGGGTTGGTCTGACTCTTTGGCAGGTGAGGCAGAGAACACAGCCTG